AAATACACGAATTTTCTATTCCATACAACACAATTAGTTTTAAAACAATTTAAACTTATATTTATTATTAGTGTTGATATGGTCGAAAGCTAGAAGATAACGAATGTTTCTTTTCACTTTTCAAGCATTTTTTTCTTCAAAATTGTTGTTTTTCACTCACTCATGTTTAATTTGCATTACATTCATATGAATTGAGTAAAAAATAGATTTGTACAGTCATTTAGTTTTCAGTGTTATATATTGCTGATTAATATTTAAATTTCTACTTTTTTTTTACTTTTTTTTTACACATCCTTCAATGCTTACGTTCTTTGCTCTAAGAGTTTAACTGTTCTTTGTCTTGTTGTTGTCTTTATTTTACACTAATTATGTTCAAAATGCTTCTAATTTGTTACATCTGATAACATTAACTCAAACGTGATGAACTTATGAAAAATCTAGACAAAATGAAAGGGAAGCAGCGAAAGTTTATTATGATTGATTTTGCTAACAAAGAACATTTGGAGTCATGAATGCTCAAAAACTTATTATCATTAAGTCAAAAATTATTTAAAATATAATACAAATAAAAATCATTAACACCTTGTAGCAATAATACAAAGCGAAATCGGACAAATATTGATGAAAAAACAATTAACTTTAACCATCAGAGGAATTAATCATCTTCCCAAGTGATGTACTGTGGAAGCTTTTAATGTTGTCCAAATATACAAAATTACATACAAATATAACAAACTTTTACGTGGCACAAATATTATACACGTTTTCATGTTGAGCATTGATTTAAACTTTAAAAAATGTTTGTTCATTTGAAAAATGTTAGCATAACAAAGTTGCAGCTGTAAACACAAACTTGCTGTTATCGGTGGATGTTTGTCGTGGTGGTTTATTTGTTGCAATTAAATGGATTCGATGAAAAGCCTTTCATTTTCTTCTATATGAGCTTCGCTGAATTCCCTTCTGGTCAAAAATTGTGCATAGTTAAAAAATGAAAAGTTGGAAATCACGGAACATTTCAAACATATTTTGATTTTTGTTAAACATTTTTTATGTTTTGATATTCTGCGGCGAAAAACTGTACATTTACGAAAGTCTAAGAAAACAAAGAAAAAACACAATTGGAAGATCAAAACTAAAGCCTGCAAATACAGACTGATTCCATCGAGTCATTAAATTCATGGAAGAATTTAAAAAAAACTAAACAGGACTAACAATTAACGATCAACAAATGAGACGCGTTATTGAAAATATATACAAAACACAGCTAACATTTCAAATTTTAAGAAAACTTTCAAAAAAATCATTTAATTGCAATCCAAATCCTAGAAAAATATGAACACGGCTATTGAAGACTATGGCTGAACAAACCAATTTTACAAAGTACTGAGAGAAAACAACGTCTACTTTTGGGCCATCTATTATAGGTTGAATTGAGCAAGATAGGGAGGGATACTGCAAGAGTCTCCCTGAGTTAAAAGACCAGTTAGTGTCGTGCTTAAGAACACTCACGAGTTCGAACCATCAAATTGTATGCACATGTTTGACTAGAAATTAAATTGTGATGATAAAATGTGATAAAAAATGATTTTAAAATCTTACTGGGTAGGTGAGTGTTTATTACAGGAAACTTGCTAAGTGTCTGCATGGACGTATTAGATAAAACCTTGTGTTTTACAAGGTTAAAATTAATTATTTGATTCAAGCAGCAAGCAAAACAATGCGAAAATTAGGTCATCCTTCTGTAGTAAATAATTATTTGCTTTGCTCCAGCATGAAGCTTTTTTAAAATATTTGTTCGTAAAAATCTAATTGAATCCCCAAAATATAAACACGATAAAAGGTATTTGCGAGTTTCAATGCGATATTTTATAATAACGCCCTCAAGTCTAACGTTGAGAAATATTACCCCGAATTAAGCGCTCATTTATTAATAAAACGCCAGAAAACATCCATTCATTACATTGAATTGAATAAAACGCACGCCACGTTGAAAAATGTATTCGTAATATTCCGAATTAATCGTCTACATTTACTTCAATTACTTCTGCATTGCAATGGAATTGTTCAATTCCAAGTGATTGAAAATTCAGCAAAATAAACAAAAAACCGTTTATTTAAATGTCGCAATCACTGGAAAAGTAGGAACGCAGACTTCTCGACAAAATGCTTTTCATATTTTATTACCGGAAGGTTTCCGGCTTGTAAATAGTGACTGAGAGCCGCTTAGAGGCGGGATTTCAACCTCCTTTATTGAATGGAATAAAATGCCCCAGCATTTTCCTGCTGGTGGTGGTAGTAAAATTTTCTCGAACCCGGAACACTTTCTTACATTAAACGGTTTGGGCAAAAAACTGCCTTTCCTCAAGCCCAAATTGCCTCATTAAACGATTCCAATCTCCAATAATTGGCAGAAACTAACCGGCTTACGTGACCAACTTTTAACTAAACACTGGGGTTTATTAATCCCATTTCAACATTTAAGTAGGTTTTAATCGGGAGCTTATACATGTTTTCCATAACTTTCAAATGGGTTTAGTGGAGGCCTTCAGAATAGCAATAGAAATTGGTTTTGCTTGTCTAAAAGTTTGAGATTTATTATCGACTGTTTACAGTGATGTATTTTGCCACGTTTTTTGATCTCGCTCTAAATTATTTTTTTTAAATTGGTTTCGCAAAAATGGAGATGGTTGAAGCAGTGAAGGTGTATCAAGTTGGAACGTAGCAACACACAGGCCATGTACCTCTCTCATATAATCCTATGGTGTGGGTGCGAAAACCGATGCCGCCTACGTTACCGAATGGAACGAACTAATCTTGTCTGTCTTGCCTCATTCAACTCTGTTCTCATTCAATTGTAAGATTTTTTGCGCGAAAAATTCCATTTGACTGCATTGGATGCCCAAAAATTCGCTGTTTTTTCTTTAATACTTTTTCCGCAATACAACTCATATTAATGTAATTTTTCAGTTTGCAGCTTTCCATATTTGGACCTATTTCATCTAGTAGAATAATCTCCCCTTTTCATGCTCGAGGGGCCGCTCACGTTATAATTACAATTAAATTTATTGCTGCTGTTTGGATCGTAATTTTTGCGTTTTTTAAGCTTGTACTTAATCCAAAAGTCTTCCAGATTAACCCACAATGCGTCTGTTTCTTATTGATTGTCTGCTTCTCTCAAAAACCTTTTGATGTTCTCGCATTTTTTTAAGCCATTGTCGAGAGAACGATGCTATCGATTTCCTGAAAGTCTTAACCGATATGTTGACTTACGGTCAGCATTTGAATTTGGCTGCTGCTTAATTGAATCTGCAATTGATCTTGACCAGATCGTGTCAATTTGGATGTAATTTATGCAATTACACTAGCATGTTGCGCCCATTAATGAAGTGTCACGCTCAGATCGTGATTGAACTGTTGCTTTTTCGAATAAATTAAATGTCCCCGATAAGAACAAGCTGCCAAGCAAATTAGACTGTTTACTAATATGTGGATTTGTGACCAATAAAGCCGCAAAATTATAAAAATAATCACCGTGTTGCATCAATTAAACCCAAACAAAATCAGCTAAAATAACCATTGCGAATTATGTAAATTCAATTACTTTTGTCCATTATTCTCTTTGAAACCAAATGGCAATAATTTGACTATCTACGTACGTTATATTGACCAACTGAGGTAATTAATTCCCAATTAAACCCGCTTTTCTATGTTATCAGAACCATAAATCATTCTGGGAATTGGAGAGTTTTGCTTGCAAATGTTGACCATTGCATTGGATGGAAATATCTCACAATTTGTAATTCCTTCCGATGAACCGAAACCAGTTTTGAGTGTGAGAAACATGAACTTATCGATTTTTCTAAATATGTATATAATTGAACTTAAAAAACCTAAAAGTTGCAACTAACTTTTCTCCATCAGGTATCCAATATTCGAGTCCATGCAATGCAGCGAACTTTCTACTTAAGGAAAAGTTTCCATTACGACCAACTTGTACACTTTTTTCTGATTATCCAAAGCCATTTGTAAAAGGATTAGTTTTTTGTCCGATGTATAATGGATGAAAAAACGTTTTTTCTGGGAATGTTTATGCAAAGATTAGAGCTTTAAACGAAATCCACTTTGTCGCAGGATAAAGGTGCGACAAGTATTAATGGGCCCTGGAATCCGGCAATGTAATATTTTCGGGGCAAATTTATTTGCTTCGGATTTTTATTTCATTGGTTTACCGTACTAAAAAAAACTGAATTTTTACGGCTTTAACACGAGTATCTAACCAGTCAAGTACAACGACTTCTGTTGCTTGGATTACTCAATACATTGTATTTTCCAGTTTCAATCTGAGGCTGTTATATTAAGCAATTTAACTTCCGAATAAAATCAGTTCAAACCAAATCTAAAACTGTAGGTTTTAACGCGGCTGATTGCCGGAAATATGGTGCAGAGAAGATTTATTAAACGCTGAAACTTATTAAGAGTGAGCTTTTTGTTAAGCTTGTTTAGCAAACTTGTTTGGAACACGTGTGATTCCATGATGGTTTAATTGGGAACAAATCCTCATCTATTAATCCTAAATAAGCGATTTTTTCTCAGCATTCTTAGAACTTGCAAGGGATACGGAAATAGCAAGAGAGAAAGAGTTTGGCCTTTCTGGTTGATACAGTAATTTGATTGGAGGAATGTTTCTCTTGAGCTTCCATGCATTTTCTAGTGTTCAGTTTTTACTTCACTATGTTTGTTTTTCATTAAAAGCAATTAAGATTTTACACGCTCAATGGCCTGGTTAAGTTTTGATCAAAAGTTTTCATTGTGGTCTCATCTAATCTCTCACTTTCCACGTAATAGCACAGTTTTTCTCTGCTTCTACTGTAATTTATATCAAAATGTTTAATCTCAAGCAACACTTTTCTCGCTATTCCTTATGCTTAGCCACACTGATTTAACTGACAAATTTATGCAAGAGAAAGAGGCTTTATATTCTATTTTTTTCAGGCTGCTAACAATGACACCTTCATGGAAAGAGACATATCGGATCAAGATACCGTAACTATGATGTCAATTCTTCTAGTAGGTAAGTGCCATCGTCAATCAGTTGACGTAAATTTAAATAACGAAGTCAATAATGCTCAATGGGAATGTTCCTGCTCAAGCTGCCTTTAAATATTTGATTTAAGAGCATACGGAAGTAAAATTCAATCAAACAAAACTGACACTTTCAAAACTGCGAGTGGATTTTCACCTCAATCGAAGTTTCCCTTGCCTCAGCTGCCAAGCCACTTTCAAAAATTGACTTCGCCCCAAAGTAAACTCTTTTTCCTGATATACGATCTACGGAAACGTCAGGCAAAATGTTGGCTTGAGGTTAAAATTCGCCAGCGAAGGACTTTTCAATTTTAATTAAATTGCTTGTCCAAAATCGCCGGCAATTTGGTGCAAAGACGAAGCGCTGCTTCAGAGCCTGAAACATTTAATCAAATATTTGACAGGTGGAAAGCGAACAGGAAAAATAGTGTTTTTTCATTTCAGGAGTATTCCTATCTCTGCTGATTTTCCTGTCGGTAGCCGGCAATATTCTAGTTTGTATAGCAATTTACACTGATCGCGGTCTTCGAAGAATAGGCAACCTCTTTCTGGCTTCACTGGCCATTGCGGACCTATTTGTGGCCTCGTTGGTAACCAAATTTCTTTTTAATGCATGCACCAAAAGTAGAACGTTTCTAGAAGAAGATATGCATGTGTGCATGTGTTATTTTGTATTTAACTCAATTTAAATTTAGAAATTAGTTGTCTTTTAAATGATGTCAACTTATTTCAAACGGTTTTTTGCAGTTGCTTTTTTTCTTAAATCATTTCTGCTTTGCATTTAAACTTAAACATCCCAATTGAATCAAAACACCCGAAACAAATCTCGAATATCTGAAAAGCAAGTGCCAAATATTATTTCCGTCTAAATATCCACATCTAAACCCCAAGATACACAAGCCTGAGTATCATTCTCGAGGCGAAACTTTATGTAGTTAGAAATCCACAATTGGGGCTCGAATTATGTGGATGCAATTTTGCCGCTATTTACTTTGAAAGATGCACCGTTTGCTCAGTTTATCTCATAAGTGTGTGGCAAATATTGAGCTAATTAGACGAAATTAGAAGGTCGGTTAATTTAAGGTGAACCAGGTGCTGGAGAAGGTTAAAGAAACTTTATGGTAAATGGATGCACATTCAAAAACCTTACCCACATGTTTTTGCTGCATCTGTTTTGTCTCGGAAAAGTATTTTTCTTTATCTTGATACAATGATTTAGTGAAGATAATTAGATGTGTTTGAGACATTTTTTGTGCAACATCTCACGTGAATAATTTTTCAACCTCTCAGTTCTAGCAAAATTATATTCCCGATGTTTGCATTTTACTCTCAACGGATAAAAATCTGTCTAATAATGAAAAAATGTAATAGTTTTGCCCGAAAGTTATATTTCCCGATTTCTATCTCTTTGGTTGCCCAATACAAATGTTGCTAATTTGTTCCAAGTTTCCACTTTATGTAACATTTTTGTACTGTATATGTTTTACATATACACATACGCCTTTAAATAAAATAAGAAACTCAAACTGGTGAGTTTTCCAGGGCGGTCTAAATACGCAAGAATCTCACCAGTTTCAGTCAATAGTTATTCAATTCAAGCCTCTTTTTGCTGAAAAAAAAGCTTTCTTATTTTGAGTCAATTCATCCATTAAGTCTGTTGAACGTGCATGTAGATATCTGCGAACATTTGCACGCAAAAGGTCTTGATCTGTATATAGGGTGATCAGGGTGATCAGCTAACGTAAATCACCAACAAAACGTCCACTAAGAAAGATCCTAAACCGCTTGATAACCTATGAAAAATCTTTAAACCATCATCGAGTTCCATGAACTTTAGCTGGTCACCGTGAGCGTCAAGCTTCTGGAAAGTTTCTTGGAAATCGTATTTTTCCGCTCGAAGCTACTCCCTTACAATTCAACGTGAAAACATATTTCTGAAATAATTTTTTCCTCTTTATATAGGTAATGACGTTTGCAGGAGTAAACGACCTGCTGGGCTATTGGATATTTGGGAGCAAGTTTTGTGATACCTGGATCGCATTCGATGTAATGTGCTCCACTGCCAGCATATTGAACCTTTGTGCAATATCGTTAGATAGGTACATTCACATCAAAGATCCTTTAAGGTAAGCATTTCTTGCTGTAAAATCGATACTCAATCTCACTGGCGCCACTGTACTATTCTTATTTTGATTACTTTTTCTACGGATTGGCGTTATATGAATCGTAGTGTTCAGGCAACTAATTGAACAATTTAAAAGCAATTATCCACGATAAACAGGAAACAGCAGCACATAAAATATTCAGCGAAAGTTTAGAAGCTTTCTCAAAGCCTCTGAAGTGAATTCTATTAATTTTCCAGATTAAATCGTTTCTTTATCTTAATATGCGACCATTTCCATCTGGGCTGGCTGAGTGTTCATTCAAACACCTTTAGCGTCTGCTGTAGTGTTTATTTTTGGAATTAGTTTATCCTTCAGAGAGTTGCTCGGAATTTCTTCCGTGTTCACCAAGATTACGAGAAACATCGAGTGGAAATGTGTTTTACTCAGTCACGACGGCAAATAATCGATGTTTATTTAAATTGGGACTTTAATTACTTGACAAATGTCTGCGACTGGGTTTTGTTCTGATCGTCTGTCTATATTGACCGAAATCTAATTTAATCTTGCTCAAGCGGTCTAGAGAGGAACTAGCGAAAATTTTAATTATCTAAAAAAAAATAACTAGATTAATTAAAACGGAAAAGAACTGCAGTTATTCAAAATCAACTGAACTGATCAACTAAATATTAACTTTTTGCTTCTGAGCTAAGTACGCTGCTCAGTTAAAGTTTGAAACCAATGTGGGAGTTAGAAACTAAAATTCAAAGTTAACATCAAAATAGCAGCTAAAGTTGGGCTAAAACTTTAAGGCATGAGTGTTTTGAACATAATTTCGATTAAACGCCTTTTCGTTAAGTGGCGTTCTACCATGTAAGTTATGTATTTTAGTAGCGAAATTTGCCGCTGACTTAATTCTAATCGGCCCCAAAACTAACAAATTTCGTTAAACTAAGAAGGCAAAATAAAACCGGACTTTCGAAGCCGGTGCTTGAAACTGGTGGAATTATTTTCCACGTCGAAAAGCTCCCCAGTTTTACGACACCACAGAACGAGTGAGATTTTATGTCATTACTTGGAACTGGTGAGTTTTCCGGGGTTTTAGGAGTCGTAGAAAATAATTTTATCCTAACGTTTCGTAAGCACGAGTGGTTTGCCTCTTCAGAGGTGTTAGTTGCGCCGAGCAACCGACGCCGTTTTGCAAGGTTTAAGGTATGCACGCGTTCAGTGGCTTTCATTTAAGAAACATGTTTGTTTTGCCATCCTGCAAACGTGGGTTTCCTATTGAGACCTTCAATAGACATCTTCCTGAAAAATCAGCAAAAGAAAAAATTTGCGTTTATAGACCAAGACAGTGTGATTCTTTTGGTCTAACCAGTAAAATTCTATCTAGTTTGAGTTTTGACTAATTAATTGTCAAACTTTGCTTTTGATGAGGGGAGCTTGCCACTGGCAACTCAAATTGAAGTGGGCATAAAAAATCACCCAAGCGATCGACGGGCATGGAAATGTACACTACAAAACAACACCGTCTCTATCCAGGGGCGTGACTGGTAAAATTACCTAAAATTTAGTTTTTGGGTAATTAATTGTCTAATTTTGCTCAACACACTTAAGTCTTTTGAGCTGCCAACTCGCATTCAAATTGGCGTTAAAAATCAGCAAAGCGAACAATGGGCATGGAAAAATGCACACTTAAAACCGAAAGCCTGTCCTATTTAGTGACGTTAAGGAAAAATTTTAATTTGAATAAGTTTATGGGTAATGAATTTTCAAAATCTCCTCAAAACACTTGACGCTCGTGGGAGGACGATTTAAATTCCAATGGTCATAAAAAGTCAGTAAATTGAGCCACGGAAACGGAAAAATTCTCACTTAAAATACAAAACCTTCCTTATTGTACAGCGTAACAACCCAATTTCAGTACAATTCAATTCGACAAAAATTAATTATCAAACTTTAATTAAGACAGTTGTAGAAATAGGAACATGGGCGCTTATAGAACTAAAGCCCCTCTATCCAGAGGTGTAACTGGCAAATTTCCATTGATTTAAATTTTTGTGCAATCAATTGCCAAATTCTGCTTAACACGACTAGGGACTTGGAAAATCGCGTTTACGAAACAAATCCTTCTCTATCGATTGGGGCAACTGGAAAATTCACAGCAAATTTAGTTTGGGCCTTATTAATTCTCAAACTTTGATCAAAATTCAAAACGCTGTAAAAATTCAGCGAAGGCAACCGTAATAATAGGAAAACCAAACCTCCTCTATCCAAGGGCGTAACAGGGAAATTTCCTTCAAATTTAGTTTTTCGCGTAATTTATTTTCAAACTTTGCCAACTTCAACTTTTCATAAAAAACTGGCAAAGTGAGCCATATATATGCCCGTATTCACAATACATTTTCCATTGTTGAACCAACCTGAAGCTCTCTGGCGGACGATTCCAATTCAAATGTTCATCAAAAGTCAAATCAGCGTAAAAAATGAACGCTGACTTCAATAGAAATCAAAAAGTTAACACTTATAAAACTAAAGGTTTTCTATGTAGAGGCGTAACTGGGAAATTTTCACCGAGTTTCGTTTAAGGGAAGTTAATTGTAAAACTCTGCTCAACACGTTCTACGCCCTTGGGCCGGCAGCTTCAAATCAAATTTCATGTGAAAAATCAGCCCATTGAGCCCTTGAAATTCACACAAAACCTCCTTGAGCAAGAGACATAACTGGCAAACTTCCATCTCATTTAGTTTATGAATAATTGTCAATATTTGGTCAACACTGTACAAGAACGACAGCCATGGAACTGGTTCTGCACAATACAGTAAACACAACCCAACACTGTTTGCACTAAAATTTTAACTTTCTATTTGCCCCGATAATTAATGCCCGCAAACTGGAAAACCCAATTGAAAAGGTGTAAAAATCCAATCTGTACTGGGATTAAAACCACACCGAATCTAATTTAACCAATCAATCCTATGCAGGAATCAAATCAAGTTAAGTGAACCTAGTCTGAAGTTTAAACTCAATTATTCCGTATATAACGAAAAATTATCTGCAACCTGCATCTAACAAAGCCATTTCTCCACTTCTGTTCTGAATAAAAGTGGCTTCAAAATAAATTACGCTGCCATTATGGAGCTTGCTTAAGACATCGCTCTCACCCTCGGGAAAATGTAACGTGTATTTTGTTATTGCATGTTAATGCCAGCCAGAATTTATAAGGTTTACCAAAAATGTAGTAAACCTCTGAGAATTTCATCGCCACTTTAGTTCGGGCAATTTAATCTCAGCCAGCATGGAAACTGACATGTTAGCACTGATTAATAGCAAACTGGGTTCAACAAATAATAAAAAATTTTCGGTCCAAAGGCGGCTACATATATTAACAGGAATTTCATGTAGGATTGCTTTCCAAACATTTATTCAACTGCCCAAGGAAATGGGATCTCAGGTTGGCTTTTTCGCTGCTCGCCGAAATTGTTGACACAATCCAGCATTGTACGACGGCCACTTTATATGTGTTTGATTTGCATTAGGCAAGCGGTATTTTCTAACAAAACGTAAATTTTTTCGGGTTTTTTCTGTCGGGTCGCATGAATATATTTACCCGTTAGAGCACACGGCCAAAATAAAGTCCGTCCCTTTTTATCAACGGTCTTCAATCACGCAACTTCTTTTGATAACTGTACATTTACATAATAAAGTCTGCCGATCAATAAGGCCCTAGATGATATTCGATTCCAATCCGAATTTTGAACTCAAAATATTTAAAAGGACAAAACATTATTAATTTAAAATCGACCTAGACGACAATAGTCTGTATTTTGCCTGAATAAAGGCTACTGGATGAAAGCTAAAATTAATAATTTCACACCAAATTTATGTTATGTGTGAAACCCTGCTGATAGTAGCAGACATTCGGCTGGAGCTTTGCAGTGAAATTAAATGCGCATTTTAATGCAGGCAAATGAGAACTTTTCAGAAAGGAAACGGCATGCATTATTTATATTGGTTGCCGCCAGTATAACAAAACCATGTATTAAAATGCTGCGATATTAATGGAAATTATTGGTTGACAACACTTGGATAAAACGGTGTAAACTAAAAACTCATTGTAGGAAAAAACAATATATTAACCCAAGACTTTTTGGTTTCGTAAAATAAATTTTAAAAAATTGTATTAAATTGTGCAAAATTGTCTAAAAAAGAATCTTGCGATTCATCTGTTTCAGAGATGAATACAAGTTTTAGTAATTCAGCTTCTAAATGTATTTATCTCCTAATTTTATGGACAGGCAAATGCGTTGTTGCTCTTTTCGAAAAATTGCGTTTCTGGGTCTTAGTTACCAAGAATATCAATTGGTTTGCTTCTTTTCTTATTACAGCAATATAGCGTTGAGGAAAGCGAATTTTTCAACTAAACGTTGGAACTAATTTTATTTATCTAACCAAAACTAAACCAAACTAAATTAACTCAAATTAACCCAAATCATTCCAAATTACCGTACTTAATTTAGGTTACCAATAGCAAATAACTAGAAACAAAAATTATTCGAAAATAATAGAAATAAGTTGCTTAAAGTAAAATCGTAAGATCCTACGATGAATCTGTTGCTGGAAAAGAAGTGTAAGAATTGTTCATGATAACACTAATCATTCTCCTTATTCCATAGAATTATAAACTAAAAAAAATATAGAATGATAAATAATATCAAGTGAACATTCGGTTTGGCTTATCACTTTTTCTATAATTTTCGTAAAATCTCCGAAATGTCAAAAAATGTCTCAATAAAATATACCTTTTTTTTTCATAATTTCAAAGGAAGTTCTGGAAAACTACTTCATCAAACTGATGGGGAAAGCGAATTTTTCAACTGCCTGTGGAAAATTATTTTTCTTAACTAACCTAAACTAAACTAAACTAAACTTACCTGAGCTAACTCAAGTTAACCCACACAAACTCCCATTGACCGGAAAAAAATACTTATTAAAAAGAAATAGAAATAATTTGTTTAAATCAA